AATTAAAACAAAATTCCAGCACCCTCCTTCAATAGCGACAGTAGCTCAAAGAGAAAAAATAATGCATCTATCGGTCAGATGACGAAAAGAATAGGCTTACTACACATACCCATGCGACTTCCAGCAGCTCGGAAGGAAAAGAAATTGAAGCTCACACTCACAGACCATACATTCCAAAGGTGAAGCAAGAGAAGAGCAGAAAGCGAAGGAGGGGCGAGCAAGAACAGAAAACCCAGCAACTCCACTTCACCAAGGCAGATTGACGCTGACGGGGAGAAGGGTGGCGGACGGCCAACGGTGGCGAGAGGGAAGTCAATAGCGAAGACCAGAAACGCAGACCTACGGTGAAGAATTAAAGGAGCTTATGTCAGTAAAGGGAAGGAAGAAGATAAGCTAAAACTGAAAAAAATTCGAAACGAAAAGAAAAATAGAAAAAACTATAAGAAATGACACATGAAAAAATTATGAGAAAGGACTATAAAAAATTTTATAATTTAAAATAAAATAAAATTAAATTTTTGTTCAGTAAAATTTGAATTTTAAACTTTCAAAAAATTACTAGCATATGTTCTTCTGAACTACTACTCTTCACTTGTTATAAAATTAATTTAAATAAAATAATAATTGAAAGAAAAATTAATTTAATTTAATTTAAAATTTATGATCACTACAAGCGTAATAGTAACAGTGGTGGGTGTTGCAACGGCAACAGTGAGCAACGGAGAGCGCCAAATGGCATGCGGCAAGCTTTGACGGTGATCAAATGTGGGATTCCACATCAGTTTTTGGAAAACCGAAGTGAATTCCACTTTTCAAGTCGATTCATATAAAAACTGATGTGAGAAGTTTTAGTTAACTTTTTTTTTTAGAAAAAGCATGCAATGGTGGTTTTTAAAACCGACATGGTTTATAGTTTTAACGTAAGTTATTATAGTGACTAACATTAAAACATGTCCATAAAATTACATCACTGTCACCGTCTTTTTTTACATGGGTTATTTTCAAAACTGACATTAATTAAAAATGTAAAATGCATTTTTCTAGTAGTACTCTCATAAATTTGTAAGCTTTCATTATATCATATCTACTCTTTTGGAGAGTCATTTTGTGAAAAAGCTTATTATTTTTCTTGAGTTGAAATCTTTTAAAGAGATTTTTCTAAGTGTTTTGTAACATATTACTGGTGTAGCAAGTGTTGTAATTGAATTAAGATTGATATAATCTTGAGAGTTATTCTATAATTGCAAGTATCCATTGAAAATTATGTTTAAGTGGAAAATTTCAAAGGTTATTTTAAGAATTAAACGTAGATCAAGTGAATAAACTGAACTAGGATAAATATCTTGTAGCTTATTTTTCTTCTCATATTTCTAAACTCTTCAGCTTTTTACTAGCTTTCTGTGTTTGCATTCTTTTGATTAGAAAAAAGTCTATTTAAAAATTTTTAAATATTTAATTCACTTTTTCTTGGGTGCGAGAATAATCGAATAATTTAGTCAAAAGGTATCTATCTATTAATTTTAATATTTTGGGGAGATAGGTTTTATTGTCGGCATGGTTCCCTCTTTATACTCACCGACAATACTTTTGTCAATGTGAAAGTTTTAATTTATTTTAAAAATTCTAAAGATAAACAATGAAAGTGGAAATAAAAATATAATGATCATGTTGTCATGAAAAGAAAAATATAAATATTAAATATAAATTAAACACAATAAGAATATAAAGTTGGTCTGTTGAAAAGCATTTAGTTTATTGTTATTGTTAACTGACCAGTGGGTTTGAAACTGACCAATAGGTTTGAAACTAAGCTCTATATTTTTCTTTTAAAATAAGGAAGAAATTTTATTTTTCTCATCTCACTTACCAATTTACTTTTTTAAAGTTTAATTTTTATTTATATGGTCTGTTAAATTTATCTATGTTATCGGTTAGTCCTTATTGCTCAATAAGAAGGTAACACTTAAATCTATTGACATGGATGACAAAATATTAATGAAAATGTAGATTAATGAAAATATCATTATTTAGATTAAAAAAAGGTCATGGGAATGGCTCTCTGAAGAATAAAAGAAGCAGAGATGCATGATGCCTTCAAGTTGTGCTGGCAGCACTTTCTTTTAAATTTTCACCCCAACCTATTCTAATCTTCGAATATAAGTTAGGTTGATAGCGAATTTTTATTAGGAGGCAAATGAAGATCCTTGAATATGGTTTGTATTACTAAAATTCAAGCCTAGAAAACAATAGTTTTTTCAAAGTGATAATTTAATTTTATCTTGGATGCACTCAAAGAATGAGTTTTCAAAGATGGATGTTACTAGATATTCAAAATGAGTGATGGTGAGTGGTATTTATAAATAGCGAGGTGATGCATTGAAGTGATACCTTTTAAATGATAAAAATCTCCTCGAAAGTTGGTTCATAACTATACTTATATTGATTTATTAACAACCTTATGTTAATGCGTGAACATACCAATATAGTTTAATAATTAATATTAAGCAAAGGTTATTTATAATAACTTTCTATGAAAAAAACATCATTTTAATATATGAAGTTTTTTTGAAACACATTTTTTTTTTACCAAGTAACACTTTTTTGTTTCATAATCCTCCAAAAATACCTTTAGAATTTAGATGAACATGACCTTTGTAACTATAAATCTCTACATAACCTTTCATAAAAATTTCTTAATTTATAAGGACATGACTTTTTAAAAAGACATTTCTTCATTTTGAAGATATTCCAATAAAAAATAGACTCAAAAATTAAAAAAAATAAAAGAACAAAACTAACATAAAAGACTGGATTAATAAAAATTAAACTGGTTTAAGATTAGTTGGTCATAATTAAAAATAAAGTTGATTCGGTGCACATCATATATGTTATTGTTATTTGCTTTTTTAAATTCGGTAAGAGAAAATTACATGAGACATTTTAGGCAAGTAATTACTAGTTCAATATGATAATTTAGAAGGTATGAAATTTTTTTTTTCATCATTTAATTGAAAACGGTAACCATCAACTAAACTAGTGGTGGAAATTTAATGTTCAAAGTAAACTGAAATTTCCCAGAAATTCCCACGAAATAATGAAAAGTTTTTGTCACAAATTTTTTGACCCCAAGTCAACAATGGTTTCTTGTTCAGACTTTTCTTATTTATATTAATTAGAGGCCACCAAAAATAAGGAAGGCGTTGAGAAATTTGCACGAAACAAAGAAAGAAAATTTGCCTTTACATGCGAACCTCTTTTGAGTTTTGACTCAATCAAAAATGTTTACTTTTTTATTTTTATTTTAAGGAGCTTTATTCAGCCCCAAAAGCTTCTTTAGTAGTAAATAATTAATTATTGACAATATTGATTAATTATGATGATTCAATAATTGAGGCTCTAATTTTCTTTGAAGACCCAAGTGTTACCCTGCAGTTACAAAATTAACAACACCAGGGTAATGTTGTCTATGTGATGTGATTGCTTTTCTTATTCGCGTTTCATCATTTTTTCCTTTCATTTATATCAAAACTTTATATGCAATGTCTTTTGTCAATGTAAAAAAATTATTTGAACAATCTAATGGTACAATGTATAAAAATAAAAAATAATGATCACACTGTTCTTTTAAAATAAATAATAGAAATACAAATATTGAATAATAATCAAACATAATAGTGATTAATTATGACAAAATTAATAAGTTTTGAGTTTTTTTAGATATAATAAAACATGTTAAAAGTAACTTATAAATAGAATTAAAGAATAACTTATCATCTGTTATGAATATTAGGATATTATATGATGTCCACTATCTTAGATTTTTCAATATCTTTCAGTTACTATAATATCTTTCAGTTATTATTATTTTCATTTTAATTGATATATTTGTACCAATAAATAGAAAGCACCTCAGTTATATTCGATACATTAAAATAAAAAAACTCCCTATTCTCTTATTTTCTCAGTATAATATTCTCTTTTCTCTTCTACTCTCAATCTCTATTTCATAACACATTATCAGCACGATTATTTTTCTTCTACCATCACTAGATGTGTTTGTATTTTTTTTTTCTCAAGTTTACTCTCATTTATTATATTAGTGCATTAAAAATTTATGCTCATGCCTATGAACATCTCTAATATAGATGGAGGCATACTATCTTGAAAATAAGCCTATCTCTATAACATATTTACTTGTTATTTATTTATTGAATTTATTTATTCAGCTATTTTCTTCTTTCAATTAAAATTGTGTATTATATGTCACATCCAGAAATGAGGCACAACTTTAAATTTTAAAAACTACAGATCCAAAAATTATCCACACATAATATAGAGTGAATTCTAAAGATATCCACAAAACTTAAAGTGAATCTTAAAGTTATCCATGTAACATAATATTTATCCTGAAAATATCTACATTTAAATATTTATTTTTTATTTACTTATTTATTCTGCATTTAATTTCTTATTTCTATTTTCTTGTCTATGTGTATGTATAATTCATTTAGTTGTCTATGTATATAATTTTAAAAAACAGTGGATCTTTAAGTTATCCACACATAAAATGAATTTTGAAATTATTCATATAAAATGAATCCTGAAGTCATCACTGCTATAAAAAAACTTTTTCAAAGCATTTATTTTTACCTTTTTGGAGCGTTTTCAAAATGCTTCAAAAGCCAGAGCTCTCATAATGTTCCTATAGACAAGGCCTACGGGAGCGTTTTCGGTTAGAAAAGCTCCCATAGGCTTACCTACCGGAGCTTTTACATGAAGAAAAGCTCCCGCATGCTAGGCTTCCAGGAACTTTTTTTCATGTAAATGCTCGTATAGGGTATGCTTATCGGTAAAAAAGCTCTCGTATGATCTATAGGAGCTTTTCTTTTTCAAAATGCTCTAGTAGGTCTATTTTTTAAAAAAAGAATTAATTCATTTATTATTCATCGCATGCATTGCATGTCATGACAAATATACAAAAAAATTATTTATATAATTAATGCAAGTATACAAGCAGTAAGAAATTTCAGAATATATGCAAGAGATCGACAACTAATTTCAATCCTACAGTATACATGATCATAATGTAAATTGCAACCTAAGAATTTAAAAACATTTTCAATACTCCCATACTTACATGGTACAAACAATTTCATCTAACACTATTCTTATTTAGTTGAAGAGTACCCAATCATATTCTATCTGCAAAAAATAAAGAAAAATAAGTTAGTTAAATCATAAATGTCATATTAATTATGAATAAACTCACCTGTTCAAAAATCATAATAAGAAGAATCATAATACATGATCGGCAATGCATTTTTCTATTATGCTTTTCCTTCTTTAAAAAATAATAATCATCATAAAGAAATAAAGGAATTAATACATGATGACTTCGTCATGAACTTGTCTGAACACTTTTTTTGAATCACAATACCAGAGTTCAAACCAGGACATACTAAAAGGTTCTAAAAACAAATAATTAACAATGGAAAAATCAGGGATAAAACTATGTGATGATTGGGTTTAATCAGATATGGCTTTACAACAAACTTCAAGAAGATAGTTGTGTGAATTTTGGAATATTGGGTATCAAGAAGTGTACAAATTTTGAAGTGGACAGGTAGAAAGTAGAGTTCGAAGTGCCGTGTGTGTCATTTAAATTTTCCACATGGTTCACAGCTTATAACTAAAGCCACATATATAGACATTTCAAGCAAGAATTATGTGTGTGCTTTCTTTTTATTCTGTTACATTACAATAAAGAAATGGAAATAGATAAGCCACAGCTAGAAAGATAAAAGGCAAGACATTATATGGAAAGATGAGTAAAGCGAATATAGAGACAATGTTAAGCAAAAAAAGAATTTCGATGGTGACAACTCTAAAATCCACAATTATAATTTTGGTTGACTGATTTATAAGATATATCTGCAGATTAAACAAAGAAGATAGAAGTAATATTAGAATGAAAGGAATTAATTGACAAACTAATATGAGAAATTTTTGCATGAGTTTCGAGAAAGACATGAAGGTTTATAAGAGGTTCCCAAGTTCACCAAGATACTTACCGAGTACCATGAGGCATGGGGTTGTTTCTCTTTGAAATTTTCCTGCAAAAATAAGAATGCTCTTTAAATTGTAATCGACGAATTCAAAACGACAAGAAATTTAGAATCTCTAGTGTTACTCGACCTATAATTTAGAAGGTATATTGTTTTTTACCCAATCTTAAACAAACACTTTAAGATTTCTTATGAGTGATTTTTTTAAAAAAGTACTTTTTTCATCAAAAAAACATAAACAAAAGGACCATTATACAGAAGAAAAAAGATATAATTGTATACATATATAATTGTGTACATATTTAAAGTTTTATACACACACACATTTTACCACAAGCCCACAACGGTGCCAAGAAAACAAAGTGGTAATGTGAAATATAGCAAAAATTTTGTCCTTTTGAATTTCAATAAAACCAAAAATTTTGTCCTACTTCTGAGTACTGCACACACATTCCCATTGACATGACACGAGCAAACTAAGCCCTATTTATCAAACTCCAAAATGTTTAACTACTGCAGGTAAAAATTGCTATTTAGCAGGGTGGACATGGAAGCATGAAACAATGACCAGTCCTTTGGGGACATACAATAAAATTAGAATGATACAAGGAAGATTAGCATGACTTTTGTGAAAGCATAACATGCATAAATTAAGAAACAATTGTGAAAGGATGACATGCATAAATCAAGAAACAATGACAAACTGAAGCACCTACTTTCCCAAACATTAAAATGCTGAATGATGCAGCTCAACAGCACCACCTGATAGAGGGGAATATGGGCACAAGTAACCAGTACTTACAGTGCTTTCTACACTAACGTTGCTTAGGTGATATGACATTTGAAGAAAGAAAGAAAGAACAATGATGCTAAGCGCTATATTGGAATCTTGTATAGAAGACAATATCTTTCTGCTTAAGAATAGTACAATACTCTATTTTACATGGCTTTTTTTTTTGCTTATGACGGCATCTGCTAATCTCAAGATTGACTAAAGCATGTTTGTTCAGAATGCCTGTCCATATGCAAACATACAACTATTATATCCCGTGAGGTAGTTCTCCACCATCGGTAGGCCAGCCATTCTGAAAAGAATTTCCTACAAAATCACAAATTTGAGAGAGAAATAAATAATTGAATACAAAGAAATTTCTGTACCAAATTGTTTCTGAGATGTTATCATACCTGATCTATTGTTTCAATAAACTAAATCATAAAACCATTCAATACCAACTGCCTAACTAATTCTCAAATTTATGATTGATCACTATAAGGCGTAATGTTATAAAATAGCAAGAAATTCTTGAGATTTATTAACAAAATTATTATTAACTTATTGGAAATATCATAGCCAGCAAACACTAAGTAATTAGGAAAGAAGAAGAACAAAACCAACCATATCATGCTTTAAAAAAAAAATCAGATTAATATATCTAAGTATTAGACTCATGAGTTCTGCTCCATTTATATGAACAACAAAAACGCACAAGAATTGACTTTGAGCGCAATAGAACTAGCTAGGGAAGGATGAACGTGACATAACATTAGAAAACATACTCGATTTTCTTCAGCATCATGTCTGATTCTCAACAAAGCCCACATGGCCAAATAACTACAACTTCTCCAGCTGCATAAATCTCATTACTAACAGATCTATTGGATCTGCTTAACATAAGAATAGAACAGAGCGAAAATAACAAGGGAAGAACATTGGGCATAGGAAACTTAATGGAGAAAAGGTAAAGATAGTCAACTACAGTCCAACCAAAAATAAAAGAAGTTATAGATATACACGCGACAGCACTTCTTAGAACCATGCAATCGCTGTCGCGGCTTCCCTTCAACAATCTGAAACATTAATGGTTATATAATTAAAGGTTATCCCAGTTAAGGAGCACAAAGACTCTAATTTATAGATAGGAACACCTCTTGCTCATCCTTCTCTCCATCCCCTCCTGTTTTATTATTCTCAACAGTCCTCTCTCATGATAGATTACAAGCATTATAATTGAAGAAAGCTGGACATCAAACTCTAAATCAAACAGAACAGGACACGCCAATGCAGGGGGCAGGCACCAGAGAGAGATATGGGACTCCCAACGTCAAAATCAGACAAAAATCGAAGGGTATACAATAAATCAGACAAATGTATGATGGAATCGAAGGTAAAGAAAGCAGCAAAATCAAACAAAAATGCAGTCATATTGGAGAGCTTAAACAAAAATAGTTTACAGTGACGCATATTGAAGCTTTACAGGGGGATCCATTCATTAAGCAAGATGCGTAACTGGAAATATTTGAGTTTATTCAATATGCGTTCATTCATCCTTCAGTTCGCACCTTCCAGCCCAGATCTGAGGTGAGATTTTATAACATACCTGGATTGAGCTTGAATCACGGACTCGAGCAGCAGGCAGATGATGGACGACGCACTTCCAGATCTGAACCACGGACTGAACGACGGAACTCCAGTTGGAAACTTTAACGCTGAACCTCAAGCAAGCAGCAGGTAGATGATGTTCGACGAACTGAAACTCATGCTCGAAGAAATGAACTGGACCTCTGCAGACACGCGCTCGACGGACTGAATGCAAATCGAAGAAATATAAACAGAGGAAGAAACATTCTCACGCAGATCTGAAAATACGCTCTGAAGAGGTTCTGAAGATATGCTCTGAAGAGGGCTGATCTGCGTGTTCAACGGGCTGATAGCATTCGAAGAAATGGAGGGATTGAAGAGGCTCTGAAAATGTGCCCTGAAGAAAATGTGCTTCGCAGACGCGTACGGGGATCGAAGAACTGAAGAAAGAAAAAGGAAAAGAAAAAAAAAAAAAAAAAACACACATGGGAGCTTTTTAGAGGGAAGGAGCCCTGGTAGATACGAACTTATGGGAGTTTTTCATATAAAAAAAGCTTTGATAGATATTTCAAAATTAAAAAATAAAATAAAAATAAAAGTACAGCATACACACAGGAGCTATTTATGTTGAATGCTCCAATATTCTCCCTCTTACAGGAGCTTTTATATATAAAAAAAACTCCCGTAAGTGTTCAAAATATATATATATATATATATAAATACAGTCTAACAAAACTTTTTCAGTTAAAAATATTTTGGTATGTGTATTTTATTTTTTATAAATAATTTAAAATTAACAATTATTATGAATTTTATAATTTAAAATATTTTGATAAATATTATTTTTGTATTATTAGTTATTTTTATATATAAAATATCAAAGATAATATTTTGAAAGTATAATAATTTACTTTTTCAAAATAAATTTAATTATATAATGGCAATTTCTTTTGAAAAATAATCATTTATATTTTATAAATATTTAAAATTCTTAATGTTCTTTTTATAAAAAAATTCTTAATGTTTTATTTAATTAATTTTATTTAAGTAACTAAAGGGAGCTTTTGCAATTAAAAACGCTCCCGTAGGATAACAGTAACTTTCTAGAGCATTTTAATAATTAAAAAGCTTTCTTAGGTCAAGCCTATCGGAGCATTTTCTTTCAAAATAGCTTTGATATGTTCTGCCTTTATAAATTAGAGGTATTTTTGCCAGAAAAGCTCCTATATGCATGTTCTGGTAGACCTGTTTTATAGTAGTGTAACCATATAAAAAATATAAAGTGGATCTTAAAAATATTCACAGAATTTAAAGTGAGTTTAGAAGCTATTCATAGTATAAAGTAGATCTTGAAGACATCTATATTTAAATATCTATTCTACATTTAACTGCTCCACTTTTTATTAATTTTTATTAATCCCTTTTATTATTTGTCATTTTTCGTGTGAACTACTTCCCATTGTTTTGTTTCTTTCATTATAATATTGTTAGTCGGGTAATAATTGTTATAATAGCTCATTTGTTTTTTTTTTTTTTGTTTCGCTGCTTGTTAACTTTCATGATTACCCCGTGACTTCTTATTGTTAGCCATAATATTACATGATTTTAATTTAAATAATTATTATTTAATTTAAATTTATTTTGTGATAGTACAAACAATGTCAAACTTGGCTAAACTCAAATTTGTAGCCTTGGATATCACGGGAAGAAATTATTTATCTTGGGTCTTAGATGGTGAAATTCACCTCGATACAAATGGTTTAGAAGATACCATTAAAGCATCCAATGAAGCATCTAATCAAGAAAAGGCAAAGGCAATGATCTTCCTATGCCACCACCTCCATGAAGGATTGAAAGCTGAATATCTTACTGTGAAAGACCCACTTATTCTTTGAAATAGCCTAAAGGAAAGATATAATCATCAGAAAACAGTTATCCTTCCACAAGCACGATATGAATGGATGCACCTGTGCTTACAGGACTTTAAAACTATAAGTGAATATAATTCAACTATGTTTAAAATTAGTTCTAAACTCAAATTGTGTGGAGAAAAAAATTATTGATGAAGATATGTTAGAAAAAACATTCTTCACATTTCATGCATTTAATGTGCTCCTACAGCAGCAATATTACGAGAAAGGATTTAAGAAATATTCAGAGCTAATATCATGTCTCTTAGTTACTGAATAAAACAATGATTTATTAATGAAAAACCATGAGTCACATCCAACTGGCACTGCTTCATTCCCTAAAGTGAATGTAGCAACACATGGCCACCATATTCATATGCAACCACGTGGTCAAGGTTTTACTCGTGGTTATAGTCATGATTGCGATCGTGGATGTGGTCATGGTCGTGGTAGTGGTCGTGGACGTGGGCAAGGTTAAAGTAGAGACTTGCATCACAAAACTCCCCACCCAAAGCGACAAATTGCAAAATGCAACAAGAAAAGGGTGGGAGTAAGTAATCAAATTGATAAAAACAAATGTTATCATTGTGGCAGAATTGGACACTGGGCTTATACCTATCGTACCTTAAGGCATCTTATTGGTCTTTATCAAGAATCCCTAAAAAAGGAGAATAAAGTGGAGACAAATCTCGTATCTTACAATAATGATGTTGATGATAATATGGACGTCTCCAATTTAGACATAGTCGATTTCTTCTCTAACCCAAATGGAAACATTGGGCACCTTATTGATGATGGAATAGTCCAAACATAAATTATGTTATGGTTATTAATTATGTTTTCTGCATTTTAGGTTTCATGTATTCCTTTTTATAATTTTATGCATTTCTAGAACATTGAACTTGATAATGGAATATTAATTTATGTTAAAATTTATAATTTTATTGAAATTTATGTTTTACGTATTCTAGCACATCGATCCTTATATTTATTTTTAATGTTTTGGAGAATTGCTAATTCTCATAGGAATTTTCAATGATATAAGATATTTTTCAAATTTAATAAGGAAGGAAGCTTATATTAGTACTATATCTGGTAGCACAAAATTAATTGAAGGCTCCAGAAGAGCTAGTATAATATTACTAAAAGGAATAAATTTGCATTTTGATAATGCATTATATTCCTTTAAGTCTTGAGACGATGAATGATAAGGACGTTGAATATCACATTGAGACGATGAATGATAAGGACGTTGAATATCTGTATATCACGAGAAATATCTTGAATTATAAATGTGTATTGGAAAGATTACTTACATTCTCTTCCAGATTGTGCTACACACATATTAGTACAATAGAATCACATGTTATTGTAAACCAGAAGTTTACAAATCACATGTTCCTTGCTTGGCATAATCGGTTGGGCCATCTCGGGTCAATTATAATGTAAAAAATAATAGAAAGCACATGCAGACATGACTTGAAGAGTTAGCAGATTCCTCAATCCAATAATTTTTCATGTACTGCTTGCTCTAAGGGAAATTGATTATTCGACTATCACTAAAATTGGTAGACTTTTTAGAGCACATACAAGGTGATATTTGTGGGCCAATTCACCCACCACATGGACCATTAAGATATTTTATGATTTTGATTGATGCATCAACTAGATAGTCACATGTTTGTCTACTATCATCTTGCAACCAGGCATTTACAAGATTTCTTGCTCAATTAATCCAACTAAGAGCTTATTTTCCTTATTATTCAATTAAGAAAATACACCTTGACAATGCTGTCGAGTTTACATCTTAGGCATTTAATGATTATTGTATGTCTATTAGAATTGAAATTGAGCATCCTGTAGCACATGTTCATACACAAAATGGACTTGTAGAATTATTTATTAAATAATTAAAATTGATTGCTAGACCATTACTCATGTAATCAAAACTCCTAATATCTGCTTGAGAGCATGCAATCATGCATGCTGCAACATTAATTCACATCAGGCCAACAAGTAATCAAAATTTCTCCCCTTTACAAATGATATTAGGTCGAGAACTTAATATTTCCCATCTTAAAGTCTTTGGTTGTGAAGTTTATGTTCCAATTGCTCCACCTCAATGCATAAAGATGGGACCTTAAAGAAGGTTAGGAATATATGTTGAATATGAATCTCCATCAATAATAAGATATCTCAAACCATTAACAGGAGATTTATTTACAGCACAGTTTCCTAATTGTCATTTTGACGAATCATTTTTTCCAACATTGGGGGGAGAGAAAAAGCAATTGAAAAAGGAAATTAGTTGATCCTCATATAAAACAATGCGAATAAGAAATTCAAAAGATAATTCAATTGCAAAGTTTAGCAAATCAATTGCCAGACACATTTGATGACCCAAAAAAGGTAACTAAATCACATATTTCAACTGCTAATTGTAACCTCCTAATTTTTAGATAAAAAAATTTATGAAATTTAAGTTTTTTTTAAATGATGATAATAATAGGAATTTATATTATTTGAGGTTATTAGAAAATAATAATATGGGTAGGTATTTAATTATGAATTAAAAACTTAAGTTTAAAATTATATAAAAAATATTTTGTTAAGATATAATTTTAAGATTTAAAAAAAATTATTATTAATGTGTGTGTGAGAGTTAAAAAAAAAGAAAAGAAAAGAAAGTAAAAAAAAAGGGGAGGGGGTTTAGTCCCACATCGATTAGATGTGGGAATGAAAGGCACCTCCTCATGTATAAAAAGAGGAGGTGCATTGTGGAGGAAGCATAAGGAATTATTTATTATAATTTGTGAAAATTGCAACTAAGGGCCCAAGATGCAATTTGTGAAAATTGTAAGTAATGGCCCAAAGGTTTGAATAATTAAATTCAAACCTATAGTTTTTTTTAATATAATTTTGGGACTCACAATCCCATTTTTATATTATTTTTCTCTCTTCCTCTCACGTTGCTCAGCGTTTTCTCGCACGGGGGGATTATTTTCTTTTTCTTCAGGTATATTCTAACTTTCCTGTTTAGATTAGCATTTAAAAATTTATTTAATTACAAAATTAATTTTATAGTTATTTTCTAAATAATATTAGCTTTCTAGTGATATGATTATTTTGTAGGATAGAGTAAATATTTTGATTAGGATTTTTCTATAGGATAGTTAATCTGATGATATGATGGATTAAAAATATAGGTTAAAACTCTTAGGGATATAATAAATATTATAGAATATTTTCTTGAGGTTGAAACTCATGTTTAAGAATTTTTGAGTTAAAATCTAGATCTATATGGTTGAATTTATGTGGAATCTGAGATGTAGGGATAAACCTATGATTATTAAATATTTATTTAAGTATGAATAGGTATTTTTGAGGTTATAGAAAGGTGATTTGAGGCTTCAGGATACTTTTAAAATTTTTAATTTATTTTTGGACGAATTTTTAAAATATAGAAGGATGAAATTGTGATACTAGAAGTGATTTGAGGATAAAAAAAAATAGTTTGTTAGGGTACGAGAATTTTAGAAAAGAATTTGGGAAG